ATAAAAGCTCATTAACAAAAAAAAATTAATAAATACACATATAAAATATAAATGTATAAATCAAACTAAAATGAAATAAAATAAATAATAGGAATTACAATAATTTAAAGAATAAATCATTCACATGGTCCTTACGGACACACAAATACATGACTACTCATCATCCCATTTAATAACCATTGACAATGGCTACTCCAAGATCAAGGACGGTACCTTAAATTTTATCCATATCATCGGCACCCAGGCCTATAGAAATGTTTAGGAAAATATTACCGACATGATAAAAAGGAGTTACCCACCAGAAAATCCTATATATCCTACCTTACAACACAAAGCCCAACAAGCCTTAGGCATGTTAGAAATCGTGGAACCCATCCAAAATCCTAGAATTAGAAGATCCTCTGATATCCTTGGTACTGATTGGAAATACTTAGCAGGAAGCCCTGATCATGACGACTTGAGCATGATTAATAACAACTTAGATAAGCTTACAACGAATAACAATAGTCAAGTTTTCATTAATAACGCTATGAAACAGCAAATAAATAAATTAACCGAAATAACGAATAATTTACTTTAATCAATTAAAAATGATAATACGATTGCAAATGATATAGCGCTAAATTTACAAAATCGATTAAGGTTAATAAAAGAAGAAATCATATATATAAAATACGCCATTCAATGGGCTAGACTAGGAATTGTTAAAACTATTATTTTAAAAAGAAAGAAATCGAAACTTTTGTTCAAGAATTTAATAAAGAAAATAGTGCATTAAGTAATTCTACTACAATGTTGTATATTTTAAGAATACCCCTAACGACAAAGGAAGTTTACCATAACTATATAATAAAATCTGTAATAAAAAATAATGTCATGATAAATTTGAAATTCAATAATGTACTTAAAAATAAAAATATAATATATATGGAATTAAAAATCAATGTAAAAAACATAATAAAGTCAGTATTTGTAAGCCAGAAGAATTGTTAGATTGTAGTGATGATTTTTGTATACCACGCTTAATAAAAAGTCAAAACTCTTCTTGTCACATGGTAATCTCTGATCACATTCCGAGATACGAACTAATCGCGCCCGGAATAATTTTCCTCAACGCTTATCATGGCAACATCCTTATGAGCGACAACATCCGAACCATGAATGGCACCTTATATCATCAACTTCAGAAACGCATCGATTACTATCAATGAGCGTACATATAAGGATTCCGAATCACCAGTAATGAAAGTGATGCCAGCAATTGCGCAACCAACACCAATAGAAGAAAGCATTACAAAGATTATTTCACTGGAAGCACTCGGCGAGCTAAATATAAATAACACCATAGAAATACATTCACTACAAATAGAAAAGACCTGATAGCCAGCGCCCTAAAACTCTTTTAAACAAAGAGAAAATCAGCAAAACCGACAAGATAACCAAGATAACCAGCTTCAGGAAATCACCAAAGCTCCTATTCCTGAAACTAGGACCTTTCAAGTTTTTCAGACGCTCGAAGACAAGCGTTTTCAAAGAGGGAGGAGTTAACACCGGTTACGCTGAAACAACTTTCCCACAATATATTTTAACTTACGCAAGCGTAGAGATGTTCGCAGTGGCCATCATCCCACGGGCAATCGACTATACGCGCAATTGTCAAAATGCTGACTTTGCGTCGCCGCTGCATGGGAACGTTCATCAGCCAGCCCACAACAACAACAAGACAAAGACGCACCTGCATAACAACGTGACACAGACACTTAATGTTTAGGAAAATAGAGATTGTAAATTAGTTCTAAGTTTGAATTCAGCAAACCAACATGTGCTAAAGCACAACAGAAAAAATTAATTTTTTTTTCAAAAACTTACAAAAAGTAAGTTAACTTAAGCAACAAAATGTTTATAAAATATTGTAAAAATAGTAATTTATACACATTTACACAATTTTTAAATTTCGCTGGGTACAATCCTTTGAATTCGCTAAATTTTGAGGAATATATTACTGAATGAAATGAATATGAAATTGAATTAAATTAGAACGAGAAATTTTAAATGTAATATTCTTTAATTAAGACCATCAATTAATCTTTTGGTGGTATTCGGGCGTGAAAAATATCTCTGGTCCAAAATAGAACCAGCTACGCCTTACGCAGTACTCTTAATTGAAACACCTTTGTGAATTGACAGTCTTCGGGCGAATCGGCACTGGTTTTCTCTTGCAATGTACTTTGGCGAAAATGACATATGAAAGGAGATGCCCTAAATTGAAGCGCATTGGAGCATGTTCACTGAAAAATTAATTCAACTAGTGGAGACACACTTTCGTCGACCGATTAAGTTGGTAGTATCTTATTTGAAATAAATGCAATTATTAAATGCTCTTAAAATAGTACGAACTTGAAGACAGAGAAAACGCAAAAACGTTAGCCCTCTTATTTTGAGATAGTGCGCATTGCGACTCATTGACGTTAGAAAACGCTGCGACGAACGCTCCAATTTAAGTTTATCAGTAAATCACATTTTATAGTGCAAGCATCGAATAGTCTATATGCCAGAAAGTTCTAGAACTAAGTACGAATAAACAGCAAAATTAAAAGTGCCAAGTGTCACAATATATAATATTATGGTATTTATTAAATTTTAAACAAACAAAGTATAATATGCATATAAAGAAGTAATAATTTTTTCCTTTTCAACGATATCAAGTTTTTAAAATTGGATGTACAACATTTCGAAATATAACATTTTACATAAAAGTTTCCCCCCAAAAAAGTTTTTTTTATTTTAAATCCGATTAAAATGAGCTTGGCTGATCTGTGTTGTCGTTCATCATGGTTCGTTTACAGAAAGATTTTCCTGAAAAATTTTCTTGAATTTGAATTACTTCTGTATTGCTGTAGCGATTTTCGACCGAACTCCTTCTCCAATTCGTGGTTTTACGTATTGATGTTTTTTCAACAAATGGAGAGACCTACAGTTTATAATAAGCCGCCACCGAACGTTTGATGGATTTTTATACCGAGCCTTATTACAAGTCAGAAACACGCTCGGAGGGGTGTTTAATTGTAGGACATGCTTTCCTCCGAACATATTCTGCAAAGAAGCTGCTGCTTGCACCTTGACAGCTTTTCGCATTTCGGCTTCTTCCTTTTTTGTCTGCAAATGCGTTTTACTTCTTTTTTCAACTATCTATTGCACTCTAAACGCTTAGTGGTTGAGCATAACGTTACGATAGAGGCAGTCAATTTTCTTTCTACTGCAATTTAACATTCCGTTTAACGTTCCATAGTTCCCTTATATCGAGTTGCTGATGAATGCTTTCAGAATTCAGGTGTGCAAGTCCAGTAGAAAACCATTTGATTGTGTGTCAGGATTGCAGCTTTTCAATGATACACATTTGAAAGTGGGTATATTCGCTGCGACAAGAGTAATTCTTACTATGATAGATCTCCGACTTCATTCACTAAAAGGGTCCTCCGTCACAGCGTGGTTTCTCTTTCGAGGTTCAAGTCCAGGTATCGTACTAAAATCCAAAAAGTTAAAGAAAATTTAGTTAAATTTTCTAATTGCGGTCGCCCCCGGCAGGAAATGTCAACCCTTCCGAGTGTATTTCTGACATGAAATAAAGCTCCTCATAAAAAAACAATCAGCCGTTCGGAGGTGGCTTAGTATAAACGTAGGTCCCGCATTTGTTGGAAAAACATCAAGGCGCAAAACCACAAATTGGAGGACGATCTCGGCCAAAATTCGCTTCAGCAGTTAAAAAGCGGCAATTATATATATATATATAGTTTCTATATAGTGGGTCCTAAACTCTACGAACAACATCAGGGCATTCACCTTCCAACTTTTGAACGCCTTCAAACGAATTTTTTGGGCTTCTCAGAGCACAATTGGCCTAAAACCGAGTGTCGTGGGCTACTGGCGTGGCCTTCTGCACATGATCTCATCTTTTGACATTATGTCTACAAATATACGAAAATATGACAGCAAGAGCTTTAAGCCGTTAATTTTAAACTAAAATAGGTTTATTTTCCTCTCAAATGCTGATTGTCATGCTGGAGTACTTGAACTAATTTTGTATTTTATCCAGTCGCCGTAGCTGAGAAATTAGCAACATGCGCTCTTATTCCGAAGGTTTTGGTTTTTCGAATCCCGGACAAGCAAACAATGAAATTTATTGAACAATATATTAAATTTTTAAATTCGGTTGCCCCTTCGGCAGCAAATATTTTTTTGTTTTATAATTGCATTGCAAAAATCTAAATCCAAAACGTTAGTTGCAAAGCACGCATTCCTAAATGCAACTGTGCAAACTTTCCAAAATGCATTGGTAAAATTATTGAAGCACAAACAAAAGCAAACTGCGCATTGTTAAGGTTTGTGATGCTTTATTTTATCACAAATTCTTTGCAACAACGACCGCCGTCAGAGGGCAAGTTTTTTGCGCTAATTACAATACAATATTATTTTTTTTTTAACATTATATAACATATTTTTTGAACATTTTTATATTTTAGCCATTTCACCGAAATTGCTAACGATGCATTTAACGTTTTGGAACTCGCCCATACTTTGTATTCTCATTTTAGCCCATTAAGCTTCTATGTGTATTCCACCCTTATATCTAGGTGTATATCAAGGTACTAAGATTTTCCTCAAGACATAATATGGCTTTGTTAGTGTTGCATCGAGATAGATGGCGCAGCAATGCTTCCGCAAACAATATTTTACAAATACAACATATTCTTTAATTATCCTGCAATGAGCACCATCAAAGAAAGCTCCACTTACCTCTATTAAAACACCCCATTCCTTAAGCAAATGTCGGGTAACTTAACTATTAGGTCTACTTTAATACCAAAAACGACAGAGTGGAATTATATTGGATCATAATTTTTATTTTAACTACCTGTAAGATTTAATATGTTTATTTCAATACTTTTAGTAAACAGATATTTCACAATTGTATGAAATGAATAAAGTTATAATTATATCTAATTAAGGAAATTAGAATTAATATTTATCACAAATTAATACTTATAAAAAATATTTTTGCGAATGGCTTAATCGCGAGCACTTACATGTTTTGTTATAACAATAGCAAAAAAAAGTAAGTTCACGCTAACCACCGGTAATTCATAATTTAAGAGCAAAAATAAATCTTAATATAATATAAGCCTCGTTCATAGTTTTTTTGAAACATGAATTTTATGGCACATGTTCGTCAAACACTTATTGAATCAAGATAATATATGAGCACAGGGCTTATTCTATAACATTAGAAAATTCCATTGAGGATATTGTAGTTTCTATTAATAAATTGTAGTCCAGTTCATTTAGGCTAGCTTTGGCTGTGAGAAGGTCCAGAAATGAATCCAGTGGTGATAAGGTGTCTGCAGCCATTTCTGGAAGGTTAAAATTAATAATTCACTGAAACACAAACTTTTGTTACAATGCTGCAATCAAAAACACTGTTAATACAAAATAGCTGCAATAAAATGAACACACTTTATTTTCCAGTATTAAGACTTAAAATAATCAATAAACATAAAACACTTAAATTTTTTAAATACGTTCAAACGAAGTGCTACAAACACTATAAATTGTAAGCCCTTTAACGTTTCTGCTTACCATTCATGTTTCATTATTGACTTAGTGTATTTTATATGAGAAACCCAAAATCGATAAGCCACCGATAAGTATGAAAACAGAAATTGTGACAGTTATTATACGGAAGCAAGATAATGAAGCAGCCTTTTCAATATTACGATCTAGCAATGGGTGCGGATAAATAATAGAAAATAATAAAATAAAAATAAATTGGAAAAAATATATCGTTGAAGAAATGCACGTTTTTAGAGAAATTACTCTTTTTTTGTAGTTTAGGAAGGTTATATGACAGCATATTAATAAAAAGATACGGATGCTTTTCTTTTTGGATAAAATATTTATCTATATTGATTTAGTTGGATAAGCAAGATTGAGCCTTATTATTTTCAGAACAATACAGTGCTTTTGTTTTCAAAACATAAAAAGCCTATAAAAATATTTCCGCTTAAGATGAAGATAATTTTCGCTCTTCCTTTATATTCTACAATTCATCAACGATATGTCTATTAGTAAAATAAAGATAAGCAATCTTTGTATGTAAAATAAATAATAACAAATAAAAACATGAAAATTAAAAAGAGCAAAATGCTTTTATACTGGGTTTTAATCACTCAGCAGAACCGAAACATAAAGAGAAAATAGTAGGGCAACTAAATCTTTCGAAAGGCAAAATGAAATTAAAGGAATAAATTGTGTGATTTTTTGGTTGAAATATCACATTGGAGAATATTTGTGGAGCCTTAATTTTCTTCAGATAATCATAATTTTTTAGCAAATTACAAAATCAAAACATGAGGATATTTTTTTGATTCTATTAAAACATTGAAAAAGAGACTGGCTAAGATATGATTTTTTATGGGACAAAATTGAAAATGCAAAACTGTGATGAAAAACTCTTTCCATTAGAAAATATTAAGAGCTTAATGAATTATTTCTAGAATACCTTTTAGATAAATATAATAATTGAAGGCTTAACCTTCCCTAAATGAATAGAAATAGTAGAATTATTTGCCCAACTAACCACTTCTCAAAGTAGCACGTCCTTGAATGTTAGCATTTACTCCACCGCTACTGCTGCGTTGTTGTTGCATCGGTTGTCCGGATAATATATTACTTGCATGCTCTCGGCCGCGAATCATCAAACTCTCTGGATGTGGCCAATTTTTCAATAAACGCTGAGCCCGAGACTTTGGTAAAGCAGACAACAAAGAAAGTTTCTTTTCAACTCCGTCTGTGGTATTATCAATGCCTGAAAACATAACAAAACAAACAAGGTTGCAAAGAAACAAAAAAATAATTGGGAAAAAGATCACCAAAATTGAAAGCATTAATAAGAAACCCCAAACATGTGGCCCCAGCTCGAACAAACTCATACATTCATACATATATAAACGCTTACCGTTAATGATTGTTTTCATTACATCAATTTGCAAATCGAATACATGATTTTCCACATACTGTAAGAACATATCAAACGTTAGAGCACGATAACCAAGGTAAGTGAAGAAAGATGCAAAGCCTTGGGGCAGTGGAAATGCGATCGAGTCAACAGCTAAGCAAAAGCGCTCCAATGTTAAGAATAATGAATACTGTTGGCCGTTGGACATTTGATCACTGAAGAATATAAGAATATAATTCTATGTGTTTTTATATTTTCCTTCAATTCTAAATTTTACATTAGCTGAAAACCCCTCGCAGTTTCATTACGCGCATCCAGTCCAGCTGCACGGCAAACAAGTGAGCATAGGGCTCGAGACAATTCTAATTGTGCGTTAACGTATTGTGTGGCAACAGCATGCACGTGAGCGGGCGCTTGAGAACGTTCAAAAAATGTTTCCTTCAACCAACGAAACCCTGTGTTGGGTTTAGCTGAATGCTTGACCAGATGTACGCTCAACTCTCGCATATTCTTTAAAGTACGAAAATTTGATTAACCGAAGAACTTTATAATTTCAAAAGTACTTGCCACAGAAATAACATGCTCCTGCTTTGTAGCTGTACAAGTCTCCAACTCGATAAAGGGTAAAACCTCAGTGCAGTTTCGTCCATTTGACGTTGAAATATCTCCAAAGTTATTGCCAACTACACCGCTCGGAGTTTGCGGTGTCGAGCATCGTGATAATGCTTCAGGTTGATAGCATGATAGTGAGAACATAAGCTTTTCTGTGACCTGCTCCGCATTGAAGCGCTGTTTTTCCTTTTGCCCAGCTTCGTTCAAATGTTCCCACAAACGCGTCCAAATATCGGGGTTGTAAGGCGACAAACGCTGATGAGGAGATAATAACATCATGGTAGTGTTATGTAGACTTTCATGCGACAAGCCTACACTGAGATCTGCTACTCGTGCCTGTATCGGACGAGTGGGATCAGCTGTTGTAAGCGGTAAAAAGCGAGCAAGCGATGCAGCATCCGCAGGCAAGCCGCGTAAGGTAGAAGCATAACTACCAGCAACTAGTACTTCCTTCAATAATGCTACAGTATTCAGTGAGAGCGCTCTCTCCATTATCATTCCAAGAAGTTCTGCTAGAACACCCATATCATTGGAATGTAAAAGAAAATAGTGAATTATACTTAGTCGGTTATCGACAGAAACGTCATTACGGAAAGTTTCAATCAAATGACTACGTGGCACACTGAGCGAAACCAGGTCTAAGGTCGCTACGTCATATGCTAATGATCCCCACTTTCGACAGGGTACAAGTTGTGTCATCGGGTTACGGTTGTGTGCAGGACACACAATATGACAACATGGTTCATGGGTCAAACCCACATCTAGCAAATGCACAAATAAATCTGGCTGAAATACTAACAAATGATGAGAACCCTGTAGTGCAAACGTTGGCTTAAGTAGTCGTGCTTTTTCCCATGGCACGCCAGGCATCACGCAATGAACAACACAACCGTGGTGAAGTAGTGTTACTGAATACGCAAAATGTACATTAACCTTTTGACATGGGTCTGCTCCTTCAGCAGGCGTATCGTCAACATTTTTGGGTTGTATCGGTTGGTAAAGATAATAGTGACATACAAAAAGCATACCAGTGCCATTTGTCAATATAATCAGATTTAATGAGGAGTCATGAACTCTTAACGGAATAGCGTCATCATCATAAGTCGGTTCTCCATCAAAGGAGCCTTGTGGTAATTTTGGCAAATTAAGTGGAATATTCAGCTGTAGAAAAATAAAATATTTAATCCAGAATGCAAATACATATATGTAAATTAGGAAATCAAGAACATACCACTGTCTCAGTTGGCAATTTCTCATTGAACTGGAATGCTGAGAGTGTCGGGCTTAGTTCATTATCGTCATTCTTCTCCAAATCATCACGTTCCATGAGACTTAAACTTTTCGCTCTAGGTTTTAGGTGAATATAATATAATGCCTGATTATCTGCGTCCCATTGTGCCCAACTAAAATTTTTAGCAATCGTCTCGGAAGCAAAAGAGCTTGTGTCAAAAACGTCATTGTCTTTATACGATTTTTCTGTAGTACTGGTTAGACGTACTTCGTTTGTCTCACACTGCTTTAAGGTGAATAAAAATTGCTTGATAGCTATTGGTATCCAAATATACATGTTACACAATCTTTACTTTTATATTAACAACATATTTAAAACTTACAAGTCTCATGAATTAGCAGCAGAAGCTTCTCTTCACTTAGTGATTTTTCGGATGATTTTTCTGTCCTCCAAAAAAATTGGGCCATTACTTGTCGTCGTGTTGGTGCCTCTAATAGTGGTATTGCCGCCATATGATTACCAACCGAACGTACGTCAGCAATGTATGCTCGGTAGTGGGGACGAGCAGGTTCATTTTCTTCAGAAATTGATTTTTTCTCAACATAAACCAACAATGTGCCGCTGCTATTGACACTAGCTTGAATTACCTCCGGACATTGTTTTTGAAAGCGGTATAATATACGCAAAGTCTTAGCGGTTGCATTAAAATGGCCAATACAAGTTTCTCGATCGTCTGAATTTAAATCCTCGAAAATCCAAGAAGTAAGCATTGAACCATCGCGTTCCTGACCAAGTACGCGCCATTCATTTGCCTTTTCTAAAACAGTTTAAATTTTGATATTTATTCTTTCAGTGAGACTTCTGGTGCAGTTATTAAATGTCAGAAATAATTTCATATAAATATGATTTAAGCAATTCTAAATAATCTTGTATGTTTATGTATGTGTGTAGTAGGACCAAAAATCGTTTATCAAGTTATACCATATTTAAATATTTATTATAAGTACTATAAGAAGTATCCATAATTCACACATACCTTTATATCCCTGTGCTGCTAACAGACCACAAAAGTTTGCCGCTAAATTCTCCTGCCTAAGCATTTTTAGTAACTGCTTTTGATGGAATGTTTTCTTAAAAATATCCTTACAGTTGCATTTTAAGTAAATTTAAAAATCAATAACTCCCACCAATTGGTGCAAATAAAGAGCCCTTGACTCGTATTGTTTACAATTATTATATGAAGCAATGTCAGATAAAAGCGTTTACAATTTTTGGTAACTTAATTCTTAACCTTTGGTTCAAGAATAAAGAGAACTTAATTTTCTAACAATTTGCGTAAATTAAACCGGTATGGCCCATTTTCACTATAGTAATGTTACGATTCACTAAATCAACCTCGACTATTTTCTAGATCCTTCGGGTACGATCTCTGGATTGTTAAATAAAAACTCGCCAACTTAATTTGCAGTTTCTTTCTTTATAAAGATTCTATCTAATGTCCTTTATTTTCTCAGTAATTCACAATTCAATTATACTGCACTTTACTATTTATAATCACTAACATCAACTTTCACAATTTACTTTACTTAAATGTAATCTCCAACGCGTTCACTTTACGACTTCACTGATGTTAACGCCAACGAGCTCACTTTGTAACTAACTTGACTTGGCAGCTGAGTGTCGCCCTTACATAGCTGTCGGCTGCTCGTAGACGAAAGTGTAGAATAATCGAATTGTTCGCTATGGAAGGTCCTTGTTTTATCGTTTCTAGAACGTACTAGTTATCGGCTTCTCTCTTTCATCTGACATTCGCCTCGCATTTTCGCAACAGTAATATTCGTTGATCAGCAGTACAATTCTGTAACTTTTTCGATACGATTTGTCGGATCGCAAAGTTACGAATTTTGTCGCTTGCGCTAACGATAATGCGATTCTCTAACGCAGTTATTACGATAATCGACATCGCACATTTCCATTTTATTAAACTGTTGGAAAGGTGGCACCACAGCTCAACGAAACGTCAAAATGTACAAAAAGCACAAAGAGGAATGACAAAAACAAATAAATTTGTTATTGAAATTATTTTTATTAAAAGAATAGCAATGCATTACAAAGTTTTTCAAAAGCATGTTATGGCTTACACTTTCATGAATGGCTCTTCGCTCTATAGGGGACCTCCAAATAAAATAATTGTGCCGCGCTCTTGGGTACTTGGCATTTGCCAGTATAATCTTGCGATAAGGACCCCATATCTATGTGAAAATATAATTAGCTTTGTTACTACAATAGTAATCGGAAACAACTTTACTCTCACCATTTGCACATTGATGGAATGGTATCCATGGTGGTTTGTATACGCTTCTTCATGATTTTTGGGACTTATGTGCAATCGATAGCTCCAATAGTGCCGCCAACAAATGGTGACGATGACGAAGCAAAAATTTGGAAAACTAACAGAAAACCTCGAACGGTTGATTGCGTCTGTTACGCGATGAATACAAGAGTTTACTGACGACTGACTCATAGACATCCCCATTGCAAAAAATCGCGAGGCGGTTAGAACCTTTAAACATTTTAATAGTGTTAAGACTAAAAAAAATATTGAAAAATATATTATTACCTGTTTCTCCGCAGACAATGCTGTTATTCTTCTTCCTTTTAGTTGACAATCTAGTTCAGAAACGTTTTCTCCAACTAAATCCGGCGAAACTCGGTAACATCCTAATGAAAAGGATCTTCCGCTTCTCGACGCAAACTTCTATCCGATGGGTAGCATACCTCTTAATCTTGTAATAAATCCTATGCCAAAAATTCAAAAGCCATTTATTTTATTATTTTATTTTTATTTTTGTATTACTTAGACACTTTACTCTCTTATATGATATAACAAAATTTTGTCGATATCGCTAACAACTCAAAAATATTCGTCGCTTAGTTAGCTATTTTTCGAGTAGTTTACGACAACAGCGAGAGCGAATATCGTTAAAACAAGTACACCGAATATTAAAATCGTTAGAATTATCGCTAAGTCTTCTTTGCGATCCGAAAATCGTTATACTGTGCTTAGAGAATAGCAAAATCGTTAAAATTATCGTTAAGTCATTATAACGATCCGAAAATCGTTATAATACGATAGAGAATTGCCCTACNTGCGATCCGAAAATCGTTATACTGTGCTTAGAGAATAGCAAAATCGTTAAAATTATCGTTAAGTCATTATAACGATACGAAAATCGTTATAATACGATAGAGAATTGCCCTACAGATGGGCAGTAACAATGTTTATCAAAATTTAGTTGAGAGAAAGTTGCAAAATTGTACTGGGAAAATTTCAAGTAGTAAAAATTAGAATACCGACTGTTCGCCCAGTGATTTCATTAAATTCGTGTAAAAGGGGAATATCACTTGATCCAAAATTATTTACAATGGAAATAATATTAATTCTTTAACATGAATGATACACTAACACAATTAGTATCCAAATACAATTTTTTTAAAATAAATTTAAAGACAACAACTAAGGGAATGTTGATGACTTAGGAATTAGGAATGTTGAAGCCATAGAATTAGAATATAATATAATTTTTTTGTACAACGTAAATTGATTTTGGATTTCCTAAATTTACTAGAAAGCATTGTCGGCCAGTTACGATAATCCATTCATTCTTAAGCTTCCGGGAGCGGCGACGATGCACAAATTTAAATATTAGTAGCATTTAGAAGGAAAAATAAAGCTCTTGCTGGGTCTATAATAATGTAATACATGGAAAAAGAAAGAACATGTTGGTATCTTTATCATTGGTGTTGTCGTTGATGCGCTTGCGAATTTAACGGAAGTGATAAATTTGAAATAAATTCGATCTATCAGGTTTATTTTAATGTTACTTGGTTTATTTCTAAAATAAAGGAATTATAAGGAAGTTCACAATTTTATAAGAGTTACTTACCGCAGTGTCCTTCACGTATTCCCTCTGATCAACGACTAACTGTAAGTTTAAACTCCACATACGAAGTAACCAATTCGTCTCATCGCTATACCCACAAAAGAATAGCAAAGACACTGTAATATGTATGTACTGCCGTTAATTTTAAAGACATAATATGTACTTAAAAAGTTTACAGTAATGTCTACGAATGAAGATATACATAACAGGATAAATACATAAAAAATAAAATTAGTGCCATATCTTTCAGGTGCCAGCATCTCCACCCCCGTGATTCAACTCCATTCACCACCATCAACGTCTAGAACAGCCAATTTGGACATGGCACGTCATTTCACGATGCTGGTAGTTCGTACATCTACTCGTCTGAGTTCTCCATTTGCTTCAGGATATATACGTTCCACTCTGCCTCGGCACCATTCCCGACGAGATACGTTGGAACCGCATATAAAGACGAGATGATCTATTTTCAGAGGCTTTGATCGCTGACACCCTTTCACTCGACGTAAAGGTACTTCGCTATCCACCGCTTCCAAAAATGGTTTCTTAGTTGTCGAGCAATGCGCCACTGTTTACGCAAACGGCACGTCTTCTTCTAAGTGCGTCAGCGGCCGAGAATTTACAAAATTTTCCGCCAAAGTAGTCAAGGCCTTAATAGCTGAACGGTCTCACGTAGGGCGTTAATCCATCAATTGAAGGCGGACTTTGCTTAGATGACACACGGCGATTATACTGCGCAGTTGGCTTCTGAAGCGTGGCACATAATAATTTCTGCGGATCTCGCGAATTGTAGATTCCAAATATTGATGACGCATTTTGTTGTGGTAATGCATCAGTACCAGTTTAGTCAAGGCATCCACGCTGTGGCTCTTACCAGTTTGGTAAATGAAAAATTATTGTCAATATTCAAGATCTCCCTATGACCAAGGCATATTTAGGCCGAAGCTTCTCATGATGACTAGATATCGGGTCAGCTGGTCAAGCGCGTGGGTCTGGTAGCAAAAAAGGCAGGCAACAAGTCCAACGTGCAGTTAAACTGAGTTCGACGAAATTCTTCGCTCGGGTTGCTTTGTGGGTAGCCATCTCCGATTCTCAATGGTAGTTTCAGCTAGTATCTCGGCGACAAAAAAAGCCGAGCCCTCTTTCTACCAGTGCTCCTTCTTTCTTTGATATTTAGCGAGAAGTTCCGTTGCCACCTGTCGACATAATTGTCGACGTAGTGGTAATTCAGGATGAACTTCACAGCTCGGGCAGCACCACTGACTTTATTCCGATATAATGTATTGATTGTTTTCACATAATTTTCTGTACAAAGCGAACATGATGCTCCGAAAGTCCGCGTATTTCATAAACTTCGGTGTTTGGTAGCATCACCATCGCGCCAAATAAATCGTTGAGCAGATCTTTCACCACGCTGAATCAACACCTGATGGAACACTTTTTTGATGTCGCCACGCACTCTCGTAAGGAGCTATGAGTTGATTGACACACCGTCCACCTCAGCTGCTGCTTCGAAAACCATACGCAACTTACTTGATTTATTGAGAATGCGTACTGCAAAGTGTGGTAATTACCATACCCTATCGCTGGACAGGGTAACTTTTTCCGGCGATAGCTTTCGTGCGTAGTTCTTCTCGACATAAGAATCCATGATTCTTTTATACACAGTAGCAAAGTCTGCATCAAGTTTCATTTTCGCTTCGATACTCGTCAGTCTCTTCAGAGCCATACCGTAGCAGCCAGGTTGCTGCACGTACGTTTCCATAGCTGGCCGGTCTGGTTTCTTTCGGTCTCGAAGTAGTCGGCCACTGTATTATGTAGAGTCTCACCATTATTGCAGTTGACGTACAAACATGATGGTAGCGTCGAATTTGTATTGATAGTTGGGCCAAATGCAACCCATCCCATGAACAATTATTCAGCTTCATAGTGTCTGAAGGTAGACCTTAGTGACAGTGGTCAAGCCCAATTAACAATTTTGGGCTGATTTGCGCGTACGGCGCAATAATATTTTCGTTTACTTTGATAACAAGCCTATAAAAACTTCGTTATCTGAAGTTAACATAAACAATGTTAGTTCAGACAGATCAGTACATTTCTGAGCATATTTAATTTTGCCATGCCCAGTAATATTATGCATCAATAGTAAACTCTGTTAGTTTCTGGCAGAAAATTTTCGTTTGGTGTAACCGTCATTTCCTTCTCGTCTTAAATTTCTGTTTCACCTCGATATGAAAAATTAACAGAATTGAGCGTATTCAAATACAACAGAGAACTGAAATCTATGCAAATGTAAATTAACA